CATTCCCGCCGTGGCAATTTGCGATTAAGGGGTATCCCAGAAACTGTCACAGATCTCTCCTTAACTGCTACCGCTCTGTTTCAGGAGCTGACTTCTGCCATTCCCATTGACCGGCTCGAATTTGAACGCATACACCATGCATTGGTCCCTAGACGACCAGATGGGCCCCCGAGGGACATGATCATCAAGTTCACTTACTATCGCACTAAGGAAACTATCCTCTTGGCAGCCAGAAACAACCCAGACCTCAGACTCCAGGGGCATCGCTACCAGCTCTTCATGGACCTCTCACAGACCACTCTTCAGAAGCACCGCCAGTTGAAGCCCTTCACTTCGATCCTGGTGAACTGCAGAATTAAATAAGCCTGGGGCTTTCCATTTCACCTCACCTTCAACCACCAGGGCCAAAGCCACTCTGTTGCCACACCAGAGGAGGCCCACTCTCTCCTGGAATCTTTACACCTTCTTTCGCCAGGAGGCGCTACTCAGAGCCCAGCTAATCTGCCAGCACCCTATGACAAAATGGAACCCACCAGCAGTGTGAGGAGACCTGAAAGTGGCACATGGCAGAGTGTGGCGATGGAGACAGCAGCAATGGGAGGCCGTACAGGGACCCATGACACACTCTGGACCTGGCAGCAGCATGAGGAGGCGGTACAGGGGCCCATGACAGATTACGGGCCTGGCAGCAGCATGAGGAGTCGGTACGGGGGCCCATGGCAGATTACGGGCCTGGCAGCAGCAATGGGAGGCCCGTAATCTGCCAGCACCCTATGACAAAATGGAACCCACCAGCAGTGTGAGGAGACCTGAAAGTGGCACATGGCAGAGTGTGGCGATGGAGACAGCAGCAATGGGAGGCCGTACAGGGACCCATGACACACTCTGGACCTGGCAGCAGCAAGAGGAGGCGGTACAGGGGCCCATGGCAGAGTGGCGAAGCGTAAGCAGCTTAAATTGAAGGCCATACAGAGGCCTATGTTAAAAATAAATAACATGTTTGGGGCATGATTCATGGCGGATTTAGTCAGTTGTGTCAGGAACTGGTGGTTTGAAATCCAGACTAATCCACGCCTGATTCATTTTCACAAACGTGAGTCTCTCCACACTTTGGGTGGACAGTCGTGTCCTCCGCGGAGTTACAATACCTCCTGCCGCACTAAACACGCGCTCCGATGCCACGCTACTGGCCGGGCATGACAGCCTTTCAAGGGCAAATTCAGCTAGTTGGGGCCAAAGGTCAAGTTTCGTTGCCCAGTAGTCAAGGGGATTGTCTACCTCGGTTGGCAGGGTGCTGTCCAAGTAGGCCCAAGCCTGTTGTTTGAGGTCCTGCTCCAGGTCCACCTGATGCTGCTGCGGCTGGTTAGTAGTTTCCTCACTGCGCTGGTGAAGAAAGCTACTCATCATCGACTGCAGACTGAGGCAGCCGCTGCTGGTGGAGCTGCCACTGCTCCTACCACCCCACCCCACCCCCCCCTGCTGCCATGGCAGCGGAACGCGAGCGCACAGGGCCCACAGTGTCTGAGGATGGACGTTGGCGCAGAAAGGCAGAGACCAACTGACTACATAGGTGGTTTTTTATAGTACGTTATTTTGGACTCCCTCTCAGCAGGTGTGAAAAAGGCCACCATTTTTGAACGGTAGCGAGGGTCCAACAAGGTGGACAGCCAAAAGTCATCCCTCTGTCTGATGGTTATTATTCGGCTGTCGCTACGCAAGCAACCGAGCATGCTATGGGCCATTTGTGCCAAGGAATGCGAGGGACTCCCTGCCTCCATCTCCACAGCATACTGCCACGGTGCGTCTGGGTCCTCTGTCTCCTCCTCCTCTACCAGATGCTCCTGCTCCTCCACTCCTGTCCGCTGAGTGGAAAAACCACCCATTTCACTCAATAATTCCTGAGCACCAATGTCCTCCTCTACCTCCTCCTCTTCTTCCTGTCCTGCCCCCACAGGGGTCATGTGGCGTTGAGATCTGTGCGCCACATCTACCGCACCCTGACCAGCCATTGTTAACAGCATTTGTTCCAGGACGTGCAACAGAGGAATGACGTCGTTCATCCCATAGTCCTGCCGACTCACGAATAGCGTGGCCTCCTCAAAGGGCCTGAGCAAGCGGCAGGTGTCACGCATGAGCTGCCAATGGCTGACATCTAAGTTACACAGGGGAGTACCTTTATCCGCTTGTAACATCAGGAAATCGGTGATGGCCTTTCACTGTTCGTAAAGGCGGTCTAACATACAGTCATGGCCGAAATTGTTGGCACCCTTGATATTTCTCCAGGAAATCATGTATTTCTCACGAAACGTATTGCATTAACACATGTTTTGCTATACACATGTTTATTCCCTTTGTGTGTATTGGGACAAAACAAAAAAAAGGGAGGAAAGAAAGCAAATTCGACATAATGTCACACAAACCTCCAAAAATGGGCTGGACAAAAGTATTGGCACCCTTTCACAACTGCGGATAAATAAGAATGTTACAAGCATGTGATGCTCCTGTAAACTCACCTGGGGCAAGTAACAGGTGTGGGCAATATAGAAATCACACCTGAAAGCAGATAAAAAGGAGAGACGTTCACTTAACCTTTGCATTGTGTGTCTGTCTGTGCCACACTAAGCATGGACAACAGAAAGAGGAGACGAGAACTGTCTGAGGACCTGAGAACCAAAATTGTGGCAAAATATCAACAATCTCAAGGTTACAAGTCCATCTCCAGAGAACTAGATTTGCCTTTGTCCACAGTGCGCAACATTATCAAGAAGTTTGCAACCCATGGCACTGTAGCTAATCTCCCTGGTCGTGGACGGATGAGGAAAATTGATGAAAGATTGCAACGCAGAATAGTCCGGATGGTGGATAAGCAGCCCCAAACATGTTCCAAAGACATTCAAGCTGTCCTGCAGGCTCAGGGAGCATCAGTGTCAGCGCGAACTATCCGTCGACATTTAAATGAAATGAAACGCTATGGCAGGAGACCCAGGAGGACCCCACTGCTGACACAGAGACATAAAAAAGCAAGACTACAGTTTGCCAAAATGTACTTGAGTAAGCCAAAAGCCTTCTGGAAAACGTCTTGTGGACAGATGAGACCAAGATAGAGCTTTTCGGTAAAGCACATCATCATTCTACTGTTTACCGAAAACGGAATGAGGCCTACAAAGAACAAAACACAGTACCTACGGTAAAATATGGTGGAGGTTCAATGATGTTTTGGGTTGTTTTGCTGCCTCTGGCACTGGGTGCCTTGACTGTGTGCAAGGCATCATGAAATCTGAGGATTACCAAAGGATTTTGGGTCGCACTGTAGGGCCCAGTGTCAGAAAGCTGGGTTTGCGTCCAAGATCCTGGGTCTTCCAGCAGGACAATGACCCCAAACTACGTCAAAAAGCACTCAGAAATGGATGGCAAAGAAGCGCTGGAGAGTTCTGAAGTGGCCAGCAATGAGCCCAGATCTAAATCCCATTGAACACCTGTGGAGAGATCTTAAAATTGCTGTTGGGAAAAGGTGTCCTTCCAATAAGAGAGACCTGGAGCTGTTTGCAAAGGAAGAGTGGTCCAAAATTCCGGGTGAGAGGTGTCAGAAGCTTATTGATGGTTATAGGAAGCGACTGATTTCAGTTATGTTTTCCAAAGGGTGTGCAACCAAATATTAAGTTAAGGGTGCCAATACTTTTGTCCAGCCCATTTTTGGGGTTTTGTGTGACATTATGTCATATTTGCTTTTCTGCCTCTGTTTATATTTGTTCCAATACATACAAAGGGAATAAACATGTGTATAGCAAAACATGTGTTAATGCAATACCTTTTTTGTGTGAAATACTTGATTTTCAGGAAAAATATCAAGGGTGCCAACAATTTCGGCCATGACTGTATGTAGGGTTGAATTCCACCTTGTTGCAACGTCGCAGATCAGGCGATGCTGTGCAATTCCGTTGTGCCGCTGCAGCTCAAGGAGGGTGTGCTTTGCGGTGTAGGAATGGCTGAAATGCATGCAAAGTTTACGTGACATTTTAAGGATGTCTTGCAGTGGGATGGTGGATTTTAGGAACCGCTTGACAACCAGATTGAACACGTGAGCGCATGGCACAACCTTCCTTGACGCAGAGCAGACACCATGTTCTTTCCGTTGTCGGTCAACATGGTTCCGATTTTCAGTTTGCGCGGAGACAGCCATCTGTCGATTTCTCTGTTCATTACACTCAGAAGTTCCTCCCCTGTGTGACTACGTTCGCCAAGGCATACCAGGTGCAGCACAGCGTGACACCGTTGCGCCCTGCACATGTGATATGCCGGTCGGATTCCAAGAAAGACTGCTGACGGAATCCGTGAAGGGGAGTAGCAGGAGAAGGAGCATCTGAACGAGCAGAAGATGCCAACGAGCGACAACTCCCCTCAGCAGAGGTGTTGGAGCCTTGACTGGCTGATAGAGGGCGATTGACGTCGGGTGACGGAGCAAGTAACGGAGCGGGTGATGGAGCGGGGGCTGGGGCAGGCAGAACCGCCGTATCTTTATCACGGTTTTCCCAGGCCACCGAATGGCGACGCTGCATATGCTGACGCAACGCTGTAGTCCCAACATGGGCCCCCTGGCCACGCTTGACTTTCTGGCCACATAGTCGACATACGGCTACGTTTACTTCCTCGGGCGGCTTGACGAAAAATTGCCACACCGCCGAGTAGGAAACTTTGCCCCCGCTACTCCTCACTGGCTGACTGCTACTTCCTCCGTGCACACCGGCACCACTACTGGCCGTGGTGGTAGGCTGCAGTGGAGCTGGTGCTCTACTCCGTGGCCGTTTGCCTCCACTGACACTGCTGCGACCCTGCTGCCTCCTGGGCAACCCACCGACTGTTTTGCTCGCTGCCAAGCTGGCACCCTCTTCTCCTGATGATGCGGAAGCAATAGCCTGATGACGACGAGGCTGCCAAGTGCGATCAGCCTCATCATCATCAATTAGGGTCTCCGCCTCACTACTAGCCCCCTCGGCTGCGTGTGGGTCAGGAGACAGACCTGTCTCTAGACCGGCTACCGAGCCACTCTCCTCGCCAGTACTTCTTTGCCTGGCTGCTGAAGAGGCGGATGTCTCCCCCCGTTCATGACCGCCCTCTGTTAGCTCTTCCTCACTGTACAGTGGGGCTGAGCCCACAGCATGCGATACTTCGCTTGGTGAGGGAACACCAAAGGACAGGGGCAGGTAGAGGACACGTGATTTCAGTGGGCTTGCTCCCGGGCCATGCCAACTAACGGTTGTGTCTGACGTACCCACCGACCGTTGGCTGTAGGTGTCAGAGGTGACCTGGGAAGAGGAAGACGACCGAGCCAACCAATCGATGACGGCAGGGTTGTCGGTGGAGACACGACCACTGGATGACACCGGGAGCACTGGCCTCTGCTGGCTGCGACTAGTGCTGCCTCGACCCCTTCCTCTGCTGCCACTTCTGCTCGCTCCTGAAACATTGCCTCCTCTGCCACTCCTCTGCGTGTTGTCTGACATACTCTTTAATTCAACGATTCTGTGTCCCTGAGTAACGATTCTGTGTCCCTCAGTAACAATTCTGTGTCCCTCAGTAACAATTCTGTGTCCCTCAGTAACAATTCTGTGTCACTCAGTAACGATTCTGTGTCCCTCAGTAACGATTCTGTGTCCCTCAGTAACGATTCTGTGTCCCTGAGTAACGATTCTGTGTCCCTGAGTAACGATTCTGTGTCCCTGAGTAACGATTCTGTGTCCCTCAGTAACAATTCTGTGTCCCTGAGTAACGATTCTGTGTCCCTGAGTAACGATTCTGTGTCCCTGAGTAACGATTCTGTGTCCCTCAGTAACGATTCTGTGTCCCTCAGTAACGATTCTGTGTCCCTGAGTAACGATTCTGTGTCCCTGAGTAACGATTCTGTGTCCCTGAGTAACGATTCTGTGTCCCTCAGTAACGATTCTGTGTCCCTGAGTAACAATTCTGTGTTCCTGAGTAACAATTCTGTGTCTGTCCCTGAGTAACAATTCTGTGTCCCTGAGTAACGATTCTGTGTCCCTCAGTAACGATTCTGTGTCCCTGAGTAACAATTCTGTGTCCCTGAGTAACAATTCTGTGTCCCTGAGTAACGATTCTGTGTCCCTGAGTAACGATTCTGTGTCCCTGAGTAACGATTCTGTGTCCCTAAGTAACGATTCTGTGGCCCTAAATTCTCTCTGGCCCTAACTCTGTCCCTAATACACAGAGGTCTGTCTCTCTTGAATGACCGGAGGCTAATGGAGAATTCTAAGATGGCCGCGATTTATAGCTCCACCATTACACAGTGCTGGCTGGATGGCTGCTGATTGGCTAATGCGATCACATGTCATGAATGAATGCATTATGGGTCAGCGCGCCTTGTCTGCGCGCCTTCCTAGAGATCCGTCGCCACACATGTCGCCGCCATTTTTGGGAAAATTCGATTCGTGCATCCGAAGTTTGCTAATTTTCGGATTCGGCGCGAATCGAATATTTCCTAATCTTCGAAACAAATTCCACTTCGTCATGTTCGATTCGCTCATCTCTAGCCGGGATGCTGGGTATGCTTTGCTTCATTGTCCCATACCCGGCCTCTTGGCTCACCAGCAGAAGTATTTGTTTTTGTTGGGCACTAGAACAATTGCTCAGGCCTGGAAGAGCAAGTTTGTCCCTCTTCAGGGGATGTGATGTTGCTTGGTATTGGCGTTCTCGGACCCCTGCTCTTGGTCTAGTTATCTTTTTCCTTTTGTACTCCCCTTTCCTTTTCTTTTTCTGTTTGTTTTTGGTGTGGCAGTGGATAGCTGCCTTTAGTTTGAGTTACTGTCGGTGTTATACTAATGTTTTTGTAATTTATGTGCCATTGATAGCCCCTACATGGGCGCACCTTTTGCTCTGTTTGTTTATTTTTTTTTATGTGCAATTGATAGCCCCTGCGTGGGCATGTTTTGTTGCTACTTTCTTAAACTATTTATAAATTAATAAAAACATTGAAATACAGTCGGTCCAGGCTGGGGAAAGATCTCAACTTTGAAGTCAGGATCCACCCCAAAGTCTGAAGCGGCACCTGGCTCAGCACCTCAGAAAGCCACTTGAGAACCTGAGCCAGCTGCTACCTCCTCCTCCACAGCCCAGTGCTCCAGTAATCAGCAGTCATGTGATCGCTGTTCTCACACTTAGAGCAGGCGGGAGACAGATGCAGCATTGTACCAATGCTGAATCCACCTAGGTAAGTATGATTTGGGAAAAAATTAAATTCCTTACTTTTCTTTTCAAATCCTGATATTTGAGTCATTGCCAGAACAGGAATAGAAGGAATACCTTTCAAAGTGAACTGCAGATTTTCATCTATTTGGAAATATTTCCTCTAACTTTCTTTCGTGTCTCTGGGACAGGAAGTCATTGGGACATAGAGGGCAATAAACGTTAGGGCTTTGGATATTCTTCAGCTCATAATAAAATTACAAATAAGAAGATGAGAAAGAGTTATAAAGTTAGGTTTTCAGTAATAATACGGTTATCATTAGAACTAGGATCAACGACAAGCTAATGGCTGGAGATTGTGCGACTACACTAATCTGTGGTATAAGGCATATTGATTAGAATTAGTAGTAGATCATCAAATAACAATTAAGCCAATAAATTCACAACTGATTAAACAAAGACAGAATTAAACATATAAACGAATTGCCAGCATTTTGTTCATGTACCCACATTTTCCCCTGTCAGATATTTGCCTATTTTTTTTGTTAAAGTGTTACTAAACCCAGGACCCTGCATCCACTATATCTGGTCTCCCACAGTACACACAACATGGAAGTGCAATTATTTTAGTAAATATAAACTGCTAAATACCTTTTCTCATTAGCAGTTAGAGCAGTCTTGTGGCTTCTATCTGAATCCAGCCCAGCACTAGCTAAAGCTTGTAAGAGGAGTTTTCTTTCTGCTCTAGGAGGATGCAGAACCCCTGTCTGGACAGTGATGATTGGCTGTGTGCTGATCACATGCACTCTCCCAAGAAAAAAAAACCTCTCTAGCAATATACACCAACCTGAACATGTGCATGCCTATGGTTCAGTCAGGAGAGTGGTGGTCGCTTGAAAAAGGGGAGGAACAGAGAAGAAAGGATCAAACAGCCTTTTTACACAATGCGGAGGATTAACCCCTTAGGTTCCACAGTGAGTATAACAAGCATGCTTTACTGCATACACAGACTGATTTTACTGTTGTGGGTTTAGTAACACTTTAATTTTTCTGTGATATAATGATGGGGAATGCACCAGAACTGACTTCCTTCACAGTTCTGGAAATGCATGCAGCCAGTGAACTCACAAATGCCCATCTGCATGCTTGTTTTAGGTCAACAACTCAAACACAGTTGCCATGTTTCTATAATGATGGCTTCACTCTGGTCATGTTATCTTGCACAATGTCATCGTTCATTATTTCACCTTGTCTTGCTGGCCCCTTCCATTTTAAAAAAATTATTATTGCCACACACATGTACAAGAGATGTAAAAAGGTTGCAGAATGGAAGACGGTGCGCTTGGATGGCAACCTAAGTGGGCCCGCTCCCAGTTAGTTTGTGTCAAGAATATATATAATAACTAACAATTATAGTAATTGTAATTCTCAGTGACTAAGTGTCAGAGGACATACTATTGGATCCAAACAATTGTTTGTTCATAATGTATTTTAGTAATAGAGACAATGGTGTCTATTACATTTACAGTAAACTTGCTAGTTTTGGCTTTGCTTCTAACACATGAGCTAACCAAATACCTGACTGCCAGGGTACGTATAGAAATAAAAAAAATCACTGATTTTTAAGTACAGCCCAGAATAAACCCCTGCACACAGAGCTTCACTCCTGTCCATAAACCTCCTATTTTAGTATACTTCTTATACATTCAGAAGCCATACAAGGGAAATGAAGGCTGTATCTCATTTATGGTTTTTGCCTTTTCCCTCTGGCAGATGCAGGTGAGAAATTTGCAAGGCACGAGCACATTTATTTGTATTTCCTGGAAATACAGCTTTGATGAATAAGGCGGTGCTCTGGATGGCATTGAATGATTTTAGTGAGACACATAGAAAAATAATAATAAATAAATACATTCAGAAGCCATACATGGGAAATGAAGGCTGTATCTCATTTATGGTTTTGCCATTTCCTCTGGCAGATGCAGGTGAGAAATTTTCAAGGCACAAGCATAATTATTTGCATTTCCTGGAAATACAGCTTTGATGAATAAGGAGGTGCTGTGGATGACATTGAATGATTTTAGTGAGGCACATAGAAAAATAAATTGCTTAGGTAATATCATGCAGGAAATATCCAATGCCTGTGTGGCTGTAACGAAAGGAACATTGTGAATGCAAAACACATCTTGCTCACCCAAAGAATTCACATATGTATGTGTACAGCTTATTTACAGTATATTACACTGAAAGAAAAACTCAAAGCTGTGTAAAACAGAGGTTCAATCCAGAAATTAACTATAAGGAATGAATTTGACAAACCAAGACAATGGAAATAACACAAGTCTCTTTAGATACTTCATAACATAAAACTGCAGCAAACTAAGTGCAGTAACCGAATACTATTTTCTAAGTGGATTCTGTTACAGTTATACATAATGGTCAATTCATCAGATTAAAAGACTGGGAAATGTAATTAAAACAGGTTGCTCTAATAAGAAGAATACCTTTGAAAACATATTCCATGTCATACTATGTTTTTTATAAATCAAAACAAATTGGCTACTTTGTAATGTGTATCTTATTAAAGCAACTGTATTGCCAATACAGTTAATAAGCTAACAGTACAGCTTGCTAGCACCCACCATGTGAATTCTTGTTTAAGGGCACCACTCTGTTACTGCCCTTGCAACACTTAGAAAAGCCCAAGTACATACCGTCTTTCTATAAGTCAGTATTTCCATATTACTAGGCACCCCCCCCCCCCCCCCCAAGTAACCACACTCGGCCCTTGAAGACTGGTCTCAGCCACAAAGAAATTGATTCTGTTAACAATATGAATGTAACTACTCATGGGATTTTGCAAACTCTGTCAAGGTATGGTATATCACAACTGCTTTTTTGATCATTACTAGAACTTGTGAATAGTTCAATATATTTTTTACAAGTACTCAATGGTGAACAAATGGACCACATTTAATTGCCATCCCCAGCATAGTCTGCAAAGTGAATCTATGGTTGTATACAAAACTCATAATCAAACATAGTGCGTATGGTGGTACAACTCTACCCTTACTTCCAAAACCCTCTACAAACATAGTAAGGTTGAAAAGGAATTAATAAGCATATGAAGGGTTATTTTTTATTCCATAAAATCACACAGTGATGGATGCTTTATTTTGGTGGTTCAGCATTTCAAAGAGGTAGATTAATTACTTAACTGCTGCTGCATGCTTTAAACTACCAGCTGTTCTGGCATTTTAAACCACAAAATATATCCTCTGGAATTAGGGAGGGATTTGGTTATTTTTTTAAACAAACAAAACATGGCATTTTTACTTAAACACCCATTGAAGATGATTTCCAAGAATTTTGGAACTTTTTCTGGTTTATAAGGGTTTAGGTCCAATGAGGTATATGCCATCTTGTGGACTTAAAGCTTTTATTTATGATTTACACCTTTAATGAGTGCCATAAGTACTACTATTACTATACTCCCGATGCTGTAACAGAAGAGATGCCCTCTACTACACAGCAACTGCTCTGCTCACCCCTCCCTACTGCCCACCCACAGAATAGGTTCACATGATGCAATGCCATCTGTGACTGGGCG